GCCATCTTGGTTGGGTTAATTTGCATATAGTTGCTCTGATTGGCTGGTGGGCGTGGCTTAAGGCATAGCAAAAGTACAGTCAATTTGCATGTTTGTCTTTTATTAGTATAGGATACCAGTCCATTGTTATTTATGTAGTTTGTGAATATTTTCTCCCCATCTGTAGCTTGTCTTCTGATCCTTATTGGTATCTTTCATAGAGCAAAAGATTTTAATTTTGATGAAGTCCAATTTATCATGTTCTCTTTTATAAATCACACTTTTGATATCATGTTCAAGAACATAAAAAGCATAAAGGTCTTCTCCTGTTTAATTAAAACTTTTGTAGTTTTACATTTAAATCTATGATTCTTTTTGAATTTTTTTGTGTAAAGTCTGAGATTTAGGTTGAGGCTCATTTTCTTGCATATAGAGACTAGATATCCAAGTTACTGAAAAGACTACTCTTTTTCATTTAAATTATTTTTACACCTTTGTCAAAAATCACTTGGCCATATTTGTGTGTGTCTCTGGACTCTTCTGTTCCACTAACCTATGTCTACCTCTTCACAATACCGCAGTCCTCATTTCTGTGGCTTTATGTACAGGTCTTAAAACTGGGTAGCATGATTCCTTTGTTATTGTTTTTTAATTAAGAACTGTGAAAGTAACAGTATTCAACAAAGTTGACAGCATCTACATAAAAATTTTTAGTTTCAAATTAGAATCAGTGTTTTGGAAATAGGCCAGAAAAAAATGCAAATATGAGGGAAAGGAACAGAAAGAAGGAGAAAAAATGAAGTAGGAGAAAACGAAAAGGAAAAAGAAAGGAGGATGAGAGTAACATATGAAGAGATGGGAAGAGAAAAAGAGGAACAGAGAGAGATAGGAGAATAAAAAGAAAATGGCTCCCTACACATTAGCCCCAAACCACTACAGCTGAGCAAGTGAATGCCCTCTGTAAACCATAAACACCTTCTGGGTTCTCAGTACTCACGAAGCCAGCATTAGTAGTGAGAGCAGGTCAAAGGCCAGGTATAGGCTCCATACCCCATACCCCATCCTGCTAAAGATCTACACTAAGCCAAACACTTTCCTTATTAAATGGCCCAAAACAATCAACTATCATATTACATACTTCTATTTTTATATAACCCATTATATTAAGTTTAAATAAGCCTATATAATAAAAGCCTAATGTGCAAATTGTTCCCTCAACCAGGAGTTCAACCACTAGCTATGACGTGTGCTGACCACCAGGGGGCAGAGCGGAACATAGTGGGCGTCAGCAATGCAACACTGGCAGCGAGCGACAGTGGAGGCACTGCTGGCCACGATGGGCCCCAATGAGAGCAGGACCGTGGCAGGATGGTGGAGGTGAGTGGGCGGCGCCAGGCTAAGGCAGGTGCAAGCAGGGGAACGATAGCCCCGCTGATGGTGACCTGTGGCAGCGGCAGGGGGCGGGACTGCCACCCAGCTCCCAGGCACTGAGGGAGCTTGGGGGGGCGGGGGGGGGGGCGGCCAGCCCCAATTGATTGCCCTGGAACTGCGACCAGCGGCCGGCAGGCCCTGATTGCCCAATGGGGCCAATCCCCGGGCTGGGATGGGGAACTGGGGGTGGGTGGCAGCAACCAACCTATTGCAGCATGACCTCTCACCAGCTACCAGGAGGCAGGGATGACGGAGACGGAGACGGAGACTGATGTGCGGTGAGAAACCACCAAGCTTGCTCTCACTCCCCCTGCCACCCTCTCCCGGACGCCAGGGCTCGTGCACCAGGGAAGCCCCCATGCTTCTGAGGGTTTGCGCAGGAGCTGGTCTGCAAAGCTGGCTGGGAGTGAGCGCGCTGCCCACCCAGCTTCCGTATGGCACCGCTGGGCTGCCGAGAGGCCCACTCTGCACCCTAGCACACGGCGTCCAGCTGTGCTCACCGCATCTCCACATGGGGACTCGGGCACCATGACTCAGGCAGAGGAGGGTGCATGGGGGGCCGAGGGCCCATGTGCTGCCCAGGGCCCGGAGGTCAGCTGAGACCTGCCCTTCCACGCCAGATGCTCACGCTTCAATCACCGGCCAGGCCTAGGGACTGTACCCGTTCACGAATTTTGTGCACTGGACATCTAGTCCAACATAATAGTCTGTTCACATACAAATAGGGGGAGATTCCATGATCAGTATGAAATTTCTTTAACTAGAACATTCCTGGTGTTTTATTTAGATAATTCAAAGAGAAAAGTGTCTGGTTTTCTGAGGATGAAATACCCACCTTGTCCACCTTACAAGGATGTCATGAAGATCAAATGAGATCACGGAAGGGAAACTGCTTCAAAAGTTAAAATTTCTTATAAAAATTCAAGATAGTGTAACTGGCTCTCCTCAGCAGAAGCCTAGGGCCATGAAGTTTTGTTAAGACACTGATGACAGCATCTGACTCAACTCTGAGGACCCTTTGGTGAAATTTAAAATTGTCCTCACTAGAAGCAAATCCAGAACCTTTCTAGTCACCAGTATTCGTAACAGGAAATAACTCTGGGCACTTCTCTGCAACATCTCTTCTGATTATTATAAATAATTATGCAACAAGTCTGACACATCATTGGTGCTCTATAATTTTCATTCCTTTTTTCCCAGCAAGAACTCTCAGCTGCACATGCCAGCCTTTTCATACAACTTATAAAGGCTCCTCTTCCATAAAGCCTGATATTTAGAATCATGTTCTGGAATTTCTTCACCTTATTGACTATCCAGCTATTTTCAAATCTAATAATCTTCCTCTAGCTCCTAATCTCCCTTGTCTGCTTTCATTATAATTTGGCTGTAGTGCTATTCAACCACGAGCAGCATTGGAAATGGGGCAGGTAGGGCAGTCTGCCCTACTCTTCCTTGGAGCACTGGCATGTAATGGTGATGATCCTGAGCACTAGTCCCAGAAGCTGTATGCATGCAACAGCTGCCCCCACACTCATTAGCTTACTCTCCAGTCAAGGCATGTGCTCCTTAACAAGTGATTTACTAGTACATGTCTACATAGATTTCATCCCAGATTAACCTGAGAACATCAAACATCAGGGCTTCACTTATAGAACTTCAACTCAGGAAAAGGGAAGATTGTGAGTATTCAAGTGGTAAATAATGAAAGAAAATACTGCTCCCTTATGACTCAAATATTCTATAAGAAAAACTGGATCATTATTTCATGAACAAATTTAATCCATGCGCACTGTTTTTTAAAGGGGAAACATGGGGAAGTCTTCATATTGAAGGGAACATGCCCTCACAGTCAGTGCTGGGTGGCCAGCTCCTAGAGCACGATCCTATTTTACAGTTCTGATGACTCTCAGTGCCTCATGGAACTCAATGAGAGGTGCCCAATGTAGGGTGACAATAGAACAGATTGGGAGTTGCTCATCCAGAGAAGCTTGTAGCAGTGTGCTGGCTAAATATTGATGGGGTACAAGCAATTAGAGTTTCCCAAGAAAAATACACTGAAGAATCCCCAATGAAGTGCAGCATGTGGAACCAGGGCTAGAGTTGATGCTAATAAGCACTATGATCGCAGAACAGGCTAACATCACGCACAATCCTAATTAAAAGTTGGATCAGCAAGTCAGAAATAACTGCCAAATGGAGAAACAACTAATTGCCCAGATGACAACTTGATATCTAGAAGCTGAAGATTGCTGATGAAACTCTGTGAGGAAATTAGATTCTAAACAAACAGCAACGTCTGGTCTTGGCCTTGGCACCCTCTCAGCCTTTCTCATTAGCTAGTCTTGAAGAAGCCAAAGAAATTGTTGAGGTTTGAAAAAATCAGGTTTTCTCTACTCAAGCCCGGTGTCCTAGTGGCCTCCCAGTGGCCTCAATAAATGTATTGTAAGGGGATTCCTTAGTTTTCTGGGGCAGGCTGCCCTACCTGCTCCATTTCCAGTGCTGCTTGCAGTTGAACAGCACTACAGCCAAATTATAATGAAAGCAGACAAGGAAGATTAGGAGCTAGAGGAAGATTAGATTTGCAAATAGATGGAGAATCAATTCCTTATTTTGATGTTGTAAAATAAAGCAATTAAGAATCCATATTCTCCATTTTTTTAAATCCTTCAGTTTCTTAGCAGTTTGGTAAGCCTCTCTGTAGATAACTCAACAATTCTTCTTTTCTGAACTAGTGTGACTTCATTCCCTCTTTAGTCTTCTCCCTTTCCCTGAATCTTAGGTAGGGCCCTTCCACACCCAGCAATAACAGCCTAGTAAGTAGTGGGCATGGAAGTACAAGCAGAGAGATTATCTGGTAGTATGTCCAATCCTAAGAAAGCACTGAAAGCCCTAGCCATTTTGGCTCAGTGGATAGAGCGTCAGCCTGTGGACTGAAGGGTCCCAGGTTCGATCCTGGTTAAGGGCACATGCCCGGATTGCGGGCTTAATCCTCAGTAGGGGGCATGCAGGAGGCAGGGGATCAATGATTCTCTCTCATCATTGATGTTTCTCTCTTTCTCTTTCTCTCTCTCTCCCCCCCCCCTCTCTGAAATCAATAAAAATATATTTAAAAAAAAAAAAAAGAAAGCACTGAAACAAGGAAAAATGTTTGAGGAAAAGCAGACATGCACTGCCAGGGTTAATCTGAGACATCAGGGAATTCTAGTATAATTCTTCACATGAGCCCTGAGTTCTGCTTAATAATCAGACCCACTCTGCCACTAGCTCCCTTGAATATGCACCTTCTCATTGCTCACAAAGGCTAACCCAGAGCTACTGTTTAACTTTTTCAGATCCCCTAGGACAAATACTAAGCTATGGTAGCCATCCTCGCAGGTGTGCAAAAGGCATGAAAAGATTCCTTACTGAAAAGTCACTGCAACAAAATACTGCTATGGGGTGCTCTATGGAGTCAAGAAACATTGCAATCAGTTTTATTGTAACAACACATTGAGTTCTCCACTCAACAAACCACAGGAGAAGCATCCCTCCAAGGGACAAAGTAAATTCTTTCACATAAGGAAGTTTCTGACTCAGACAGATCCGTTCATCCTCCCCATACTCCTCCCCTTCAGAGTTTACTGGTTGCTGTTACCTGTACAAGTGACCGTTGTCTTCAAAATCTTCCTGACCCCATTTGCCCTTGATATCTTCGATAACATGATTCTTCAGGAATTTTTTTAGCAGCTGCACTGTTTGTTTGCGGGTCACTTCAGGGCCAAAGTTCTGATTGTACCTCAGCAGGTCATGTAGCCAGTCCACAGCTTCAGCCGCTGTGAAGCAATGTTCGTAACTTTTGAAACGACAACGATGTTTCCGTAATGGCATCCTAGAGCGAAAAAGCTCAACAGTTTCGTTCCACTAGGAGAAAAAGGAAAGGCATTTAGTAATCAACTGATTTTATTTTTCAGGTTATTGCATCCAAATTATTTCAGACAACAAATGCAATTTTTCCATTTAAAAGGCTGTCTAAATAACAGACGGAGCCTCGAAATTTATGTATTTACAAGCTTCACACTCTTAAGAAAAAGTAAATTTTTAAGATGAATTTATTCAATAAATATTTACTGGAGATATTGCCATCAAGTTGTCCTATAATGTGAATTTAATACATTTTTACATTAATAAGAAACATACGATTGAAAATAATAGTAAACTGAGATCAATATGCTTAATTCACTTCTTGGAATCCTATGTTTAATATGATTTTACATCACTCAGCAATTATTTACTGTTTATTCCATAAAAGGCATTATATGGAGAGAGGATAAGAGGTATAGCTCCTGATGTCAAAATATGTTTTAAAATTCTGCAGAATACTTTCCTATTTAAAAACAAATCTAGTGAGTAGTAAAGAGTAAAGGTGCCCAAAGACATAGTAACAGAATATGATTTGACTTTAGGTGTTGGGCACACAATGCAAAATACAGATCATGTATCATAGAAATGTACACTTGAAACCTACATAATCTTACTAACAAATGTCACCCCAATAAATTTAATTTAAAAAAGGATAATGTCTGACAGATAGTACGTGTGTTCAATAAATAGAAAATAGAATGAAGAAATGTGCTTTTAATCTTTCTTTAAATATTTTAATTTTTACATTTATTTATCTTTATTCTTGAGGGTATTACAGATGTCCACCATTTCCTTCCCATTCCCTTCCTCCACCAGGTTCCCACCCCACCACAGGCCTTCACCACACTGTGTCCATGGATTATGCATATATGCATATAAATTCTTTGTTTTATCTCTTCTCACCACCGCACTCCCCTTCCCTCTGAGAGCCATCAGTCTGTTCTATGTTTCCATGCCTCTGGGCCTATTTTGCTCGTCAGTTTATTTTGTTCATTAAATTCCACAGATAAGTGAGATCATGTGATACTTGTCTTTCTCTGACTGGCTTCTTTTGCTTAGCATAATACTTACTCTCCAGGTCCACAAGGCTGGTACAATATTCTCAAACCAATAAATGTGATATATCACATTAACTAAATGAAGGATAAAAATCACATGATAATATCAATAAATACAGAAAAGGCATTTGACAAAATCCAGCACCTTTTTTTTTCATGCCAGCACCATCCTATATAATAAAAGACTAATATGCAAACGGACCGAAAGGCCAAACGACTGGTCGCTATGACGTGCACTGACCACCAGGGGGCAGATGCTCAACACAGGTGCTGCCCCTGGTGGTCAGTGCACTCCCACAGGGGGAGCACTGCTCAACCAGAAGCCAGGCTCACAGCTGGCAAGTGCTCCCGCCTCTGCAGCATCATTAAGGATGTCCGACTGCCGGCTTAGGCGGGGAGTGAGCCTAAGCCAGCAGTCAGACATCCCCCAAGGGCTCCCAGACTGCGAGAGGGCGCAGGCCAGGCTGTGGGACCCTTTCCCGAGTGCACTATTTTCATGCACCGGGCCTCTAGTTTTTTATAAAATCTCTCAGCAAAGTGGGAATAGAGGATCATATCTCAAAATAATAAAGGCCATATATGACAAACCTTCTTTAACTCCTAGAGTGCCGGGGAACACGACTGTGCTCCTCCTGTCTTTCGCCAAAAGTGCCAGGAACGCTATCAAAGCTTCGAAATGGCATCCTGTTCTAAGTCTGCTTTTACTAGTGATGATGATATTGCTAAATATGTCAATGTAGTAAAGGTTTCCTTAGGTTTTTGAATATGTAACTTCATTTACTTGCGATTCATAATTTTTTTCCTAAACTGCTGTAAAATCAGCAAAAATGCCTTGGCAATTTTAGCATAGTTCCTAGGATATTGGTTGGCACTCAAGGGTTAAATATTTTAAAAGTGTTTTCTTCTGGCTTTTCAATTTGCTTATGTGGTCTCTAGCTTTGGGAAGGTTTTGTTGTTAATGATGTTGTTGTTTTAAGGAAACAAATATAATTTTTTTCTTTATGGTTACAAGGTTTACTCAGAAAGCTTCCCCAGCCTGAGGTATTAAAAATATTTATTAAATTTTTCTTTTAATATCATATAGAGGGATTTTATTTTAATATTTGAAACTTCAACTGAAATTTTTTATGGTGGGAGGTAGGAGAGCTCTAACTTTATTCTCTTCCAAATGGAGAGCCAATCATGCCATCATTTTCTCACTGAATTGAAATGTTAAGTTACCTTACATGTTACCTTTCTTGATTCTAAACTCTCTTTTCTGTCTCACTGATATATGTCATTCCTCTGCAATACTATAACCTTGTAATTACAGTTAATTAATATTAAGTTTAAATCTCTGATAGGTCAAGGTGCTTACAGTCTTTAAAAATTGTTTTTGAATGCTCCCACTTTTACTCTTGTGTATGAGCTTTCAACTCAATGCAGTCCCACTCAGAAAAAAAAATCTGTTGGACTTCTGATTGGATTTTATGTGTTCTCTGATAGCTGCTTTTCATTTCACACTACAAATTTTATAAGATAGCCTTATCAAAGGTTCGTATCTTTTTTTAAAAAGAATTTAGAATTTATTTATTTTGATTTTGAATGGCACTTATCATTATGGTTTATATTTACTCAACCCAGTGTTTCACCTAGAATTTTCAAAACCTAGTGAGGACCATGGTTTCTGTATCCACTTATTTCCAAATATAATTAAACGAGAGGCCCAATTCACGAAATTCATGCAAGGGGCTCGGTCCTCGCAGCCCCAGCTGCCTCCTGGACCCGCAGTCCCGCCCACGGGTCATTCCAGATGGTTGTTCTGAAAGGTTGTTCCACCTTCCAGTCTAATTAGAATATTAGCTCTTTATTATATAGGATGGTTATTTGGCTACTCTGCCAATAGAGAAAAATAATTATCTTTAAATCACCATTCACACATTTTTTTTAATCCTCACCCAAGGATATTTTTCCATTGATTTTTAGAAAGAGTAGAAGAGAAAAGGAAAGACAGAGCATTGATGTGGGAGAAACACATCAATTGGGGGTCTGGGGCCAGGGAGGAGATAGGAACCGAGGTACATGCCCTTGACTGGAATCGAACCCGGGACCCTTTAGTCCGCAGGTCAATGCTCTATCCACTGAGCCAACTGGATAGGACCTCACTTACATTTAGGAAGAAAATGTCCTATGTCAACAAAGAACAAGATAGAGCTTGAGAATATGATCTTCTTCCATAACATATTACTAGTATATTTGAAGAGATAATCTTTATAGAAAGAGGACAGATTTGTTTTATGATTAAAAAACTATTTGTTTTATTTATTTCAGTCCCCTAATTTAAGAAATAAAGAGTCATACAGCACAACTGTTTTTGCTTAACATCATGAGCTAAACTACAAAATACAACACTGAGGGTTGAAATGTGCTTCCTGTTCTTTCTTCCAGAATATTTATCCCATTTCCTTCCTTAGTACCAAAAATATTATTATAGTACTACTATAATAGTATGGCACCTGGGCAGGAACTCGGAGAGAACAAAATTCTAGATCTAGTTATACTTGCCATTACTAGTAGTATGAACTTGATCAAGTCCATTCACCCCTTTAGGTCTCAGTCAAATGAGGGAATTGAACCAGGCAATCTTTGGAGTGCATTCTAGCACTCAGATTCAATGACAGCTTTAAGTCTTTTCAAGTTCAACAGTTGCATCAGGTGATACAAATAACTCAGAATTAAGTTCAAAGATTGGCTCCATTGTATGTTCTTGCCTCCTTTGTCAAATATTAATTGAGCATATTGGTTCGGGTCAATGACAGCTTTAAGTCTTTTCAAGTTCAACAGTTGCATCAGATGATACAAATAACTCAGAATTAAGTTCAAAGAAAGGATCAATAAAAGCAATTTTCAGTAAAAGCAATTTTCTTTCTCCTCATTATTTCTCTTAAAATAATTAACTATTTATATATGAGTTACAAAAATGAAAGCTATTTTAGTCATGATGAATAAGTTGCTAATTAGCTCCCATATTCATCATGAATTGACTTATAAGTCTGTCATTTTATATTTGGCAAAAAAATTTACCTAGTCTATAAAATGATATTTTCAGATAAGAATTGTTGGTGCTTTAGAAAATGGAGCTGTAGTGGTTTGAGAAAGTATAATGTGCCATAAAAGGAGCAAGTAAAGGCTTGCTCTTTGTATGCTAATAGATTTTCCAAAGCTTTTCCTGAAGATTAGGTTGAGGGAGAAGGGGGAAATGGTAAGCTGGGAGTGGGAGAAGGAAAGTAAAGAGAGAACTACCACAAGCTTTATGATTTACTGGGTAAAAGCTTTAAGGCACAATTGAATTTTGATCAGGGAAACATTTATATATTTCACAATGGGGGGAAAGCACCTGTAATGAAAGTGCTATCACTGACAAATTAGGAATTCTCACTTAAAAAGAAATTGGCTATTGTTCCTGTGTTTTCAAAATCTTAGTTTAAGATCAAGTTTCTCAAATAGAATAAAGTTTAGAACTGGATTGACTATCTGGAAATTCTGGTGAAACTGAGGTGTTTTCATTAATTATTCATATAATTTAATTTTCTGCTTAACTTTATCAGTTTTGGCTAAACTAGGCTTGAATATCACTTCTTGGGGACTGAAGACTTCTGGAGAGTAGAAAACACTTTTCTTTATAAACTCTTGATAGTATACATTTTTTATAAGGGAAAGTTTATTTAGAAAGTTACAGAGATAGTAGAAGGGCCCTTGAAGCTTAGGGGAAAGGGAAAGAGATACATGCCTTGAGGGATGAAAGAGGGAGGAGAGGCACGGGCAGGCTCCAGGAAGAAGAGAGAGAATGTGCTGAGGAAAGAAAGAGGCGGGGAAAGGCTAGGGCATGCTCCACAGAGAGTAGCCTCCTTTGACAATATTTTAATGTGACTCAGAATCAATTACTAATACACAGGCACTC